CTACTGAGGACTCCTAACATAAGCTTAAGCTCCACATTCCATTACTAGTAAAGGAAAAGGTTTCCCTTGACATTAAGTCTAGTCATTTCTGACTCTGGGGTGTGGTGCTCATCTCCATTTCTAAGCCAAAGAGCCAGCCTTGTCTGTAGACACCTCCAAGGTCATGTGGCCTGCATGGCTGCATGGAGTGCCGTTACCTTCCCGCCTGAGTGGTACCTATTGATCTATTCACAATTGTATGTTTTGAACTGCTTGGTTGGCAGAAGCTGGGGCTAACAGCAGGAGCTCATTCTACTCCCCAGATTTGAACTCTAACATTTTGGTCAGCAAGTTCAGCAGCTCAGTGGTTTAACCCGCTGCGCCATCAGTGCCATACATACACTATATCCTAGGCATGGCCAATCCATGGTTCTAAATAGTTTTAAAGTACTTACAAAACTAGAGGGCACTGGTGCTTTGCTTCTAAAGCAGTGTTTCTCAACCTGGGGGTCAGGACCCCTGGAGGGATCATGAGAGAGTGTCAAAGGGGTCACTAAAGACCACCAGAAAACACAGTATTTTCTGTTGGCCATGGGGGTTCTATGTGGGAAGTTTGGCCGAATTCTGTCATTGGTGGGGTTCAGAATGCTCTTTGATTGTAGGTGAACTATTAATCCCAGCAACCACAACTCCCAAATGTCAAAGTCTATTTTCCCCAAACTCCACCAGTGTTCACATTTGGGCATATTGAGTATCCATGCCAAGTTTGGTCCAGATCCATAATTGTTTGAGTCTATAGTGCTCTCTGAACTACAACTCCAAAACTCAAGGTCAATGCCCACCAAACCCTTCCAGAATTTTCTGTTCGTCATGGGAGTTCTGTGTGCCAAGCTGAGTTCAATTCCATTGTTGGTGGGAGTTCTTTGATTGCAGGTGAACTATAAATCCCAGCAACTACAACTCCCAAATGACAAAATCAACCCCCCCCCCCCCCCCCCCCCCCCAACCCCACCAGTACTCAAATTTGGGCATATTGGGTACTTGTGCCAAATTTGGTCCAGTGAATGAAAATACATCCTGCATTTCAGATATTTACATTACGATTCATAACAGGAGTAAAATGATAGTTATGAAGCAGGAAGGAAAATAATTTTATGGTTGGGGGTCACCACAACATGAGGAACTGTATTTAGGGGTCACGCCATGAGGAAAATTGCGAAACACTGTTCTACAGTGTTGCTAAAGTTCTGGTAGTGAAAATTTCAGAACTCTAACAAAACTTTCAAATTTTAATTATTATTTCATTATCGGCAATTTTTATGACAGAGCCAATTAGGAACTGCCATTTATAATGACATTTTGAAAGCTTTGTTAGAGTTCTGTAATTTTCACCAACAGAACTTTAGCAACACTTTAGAAGCAAAGCAACAGCGCCCCATAGTTTTGTAAGTACTTAACAACCATTTGGAACCATGGATTGCCTATGCCTACTATATACATGTAATATACACTACCCATCTACACTGCCATATTATCCAATTGAAAGCAGATAATCTAGATTCAGAAACTGGATTATATGGCAGTGTAGATGGGGCAGCAAGATGTTGGAGGATAAAACTGTATATCTCATGAGGCCCAGTGTATATTTATTCCCCTAAGGACTTGGGAAAAATTCACTAGCAACTAAATTATCATCTTTTACTCATTAAATATTTCAAACAACAATATTAATATTATTAAACAAGAACAGCATTCATCAGAGTTACAACCAAAATTGTTTTCATTTATTGTTGGCCATTTTGCACAAATTTAAGCTAACAATTTTAGGAGTTAAGCAAAACATTTTAATTTGTTTTGCAAATGTCAACATTTCAAATAAAATGTCTTTAATGATTTAGCATGTTAGCTCGAACACTAACATTTTTGGGCTGTCTTCCTTAGATGGTAAGCCATATCAAAGTGGGTGTGCTTGTTTGTTTGATCCACAGAGGCTGCTACATGGCTTGATGGAACTGGACCAAACTTGGCACACGTATCCTTCATTATCTAACTTGAATTAGTTGAAGGTTTTGAATGAAAAAAGCACTGCTTTTGTGTCCAGAGGAGAAGGAAAGAAAAGGAATAAATCGGATTGGCTGTGGCTAGGTTTTTGTTTGCCATGTTGTGGCGATTTGAGAAACTGCAAGTCTTTTCTGGTGTGAGAGAATTGGCCATCTGCAAGAAGGTTACCCAGGGAATGCCCAAATGTTTTATCCTGTGAGAGGCCTCCTCATGTCCCTGCATGGGAAGCTGGAGCTGACAGTTGGGAGCTCACCCCACTCCCTGAATTCGAACCACCGACCTTTTGGTCAGCAGCCCTGCCAGCATAAGGGTTTAACCCATTCCGCCACCAGGTGGTTAGGTGAAGTGGCCCTATGTCATGTGATTGGGAATCAAAGGGAGTGATGTGGATTGGCTGCTACTTGGTAAGATGTATATGAGGGGAAGGAAGGAAGGAAGGAAGGAAGGAAGGAAGGAAGGAAGGAGGAAGGAAGGAAGGAAGGAAGGAAGGAAGGAAGGAAGGAGGGAGGGAGGGAGGGAAGAAGGAAGAAGAAATAGAAAGGACAAAGGTTATGCGGAGAGGGGAGAAAGGAAGAATAAATAAGGGAAGAGGAAAAAGGGAGGGAGGAAGTGAGGGAAGAAGGAAAAAGAAGGAAAGAAAAATGAAAAATGAAAGAAAGGTCTATGAGGGAAAGCAAAGGAAAAAATAAGGAAGGAAGGGAGTGAGGGAAGAAGGAAAAAGAAGGAAAGAAAAATGAAAAATGGAAGAAAGGTCTATGAGGGAAAGCAAAGGAAAAAATAAGGAAGGAAGGAAGGAAGGAAGGAAGGAAGGAAGGAAGGAAGGAAGGAAGGAAGGAAGGAAGGAAGGAAGGAAGGAAGGGGAGAAGGACGAAGTGTGTGAGGAAAAGGGAGGAACTCTCATTATTCCATAGAATAGAGCCATTGCAGTTAAAGCAGTGTCAAACTGCATTAATTCTCCAATGTAGATGCCTCCTTTATTTGCGAAAATGTTTACTATACAGAAAACTGTTTCAAGACAGACATAAACTGAAACAATAATTCCCAGACATCCGGACTCCCTATTGTTGTCTATGTGTTGTCCTATTTGGCGATAATAGGTTCGATGTAATAATAATTTACCTTATTTACTCTATTATAATATACTCTAAATTCAATTAGCCTCCCTAAAATCTAATATACTTGCAGCAGGAATCCAATATTCTTAGGCTGGGAAAAACCGGTTTTGAAAAATGGCATTTACTGGAAAAAAAGAGGGAAGAGGAACACAACTGAAATATATTGCATTTTATTGAAATATAGGAATTGAAACCCAGGTTTTTATGAGTTGAGCATGCAATGCCTGGGGGATTGACGGAAACTGAACATTAGTTTCACTTTCTCCCTCGTTTGAAATGCTTTAGTCTCATTTCCTGTAAAAAGTAAAAAAAGCCTATGAGGCAGAAGAGAATAGCATCACTAATTCCACAGTGCCATAATCTTGGACTTGGGAGACTTAGTGCAAAATTTCACTGGGCTTAACATCCTTTCATCCTTTCCTCTTTCTCTCCCTTTTGTCTTTCCTTCCTTCTCTCTTTCCTTCTTCCCTTCCTCCCTTTCTCCTTTCTTCCTTATCTCATTCCTTCCTTCTTCCTTCTTGTCATCCTTTCCTTCCACCTTTTCATCCTTTCCTCCTTCCTTTCGTCTTTCCTTCCTTCTCTCTTTCTTTCCTCCTTCCCTCCCTCTCCTTCTATCCTTCCCTTTCACCCTTTCGCCCTTCCTTCTGTCTCTTTCCTCCCTCTTTCCCTCTTTCGTCCTTCCTTCCCTCTTCCCTCCCTCCTTCCCTCTCTCCCTCTTTCTCTTTCCATCCTTCCCTTCCTCCCTTTTGTCTTTCCTTCCTTCTCTCTTCCCTCCCTCCCTTCCCTCTTTCTTCCTTTATCCTTCCCTTCCCCTTTTTTCCTTCCTCCTTTCTTCCTTTCTCTTTCCTTCCTTCTTCCCTTCTTCCTTCCTGCCATCCTTTCCTTCTACCTTTTCATACTTTCCTCCTTCCTTTTGTCTTTCCTTCCTTCTCTCTTTCCTTCCTCCTTCCCTCCCTCTTTCTCCTTCTCTTTCACCCTTCCTTCCTTCCTTCCTTCCTTCCTTCCTTCCTTCCTTCCTTCCTTCCTTCCTTCCTTCCTTCCCTTTTCCCTCTCTCTCCTCTTTCTCCTTCCTTCCTTCCTTCCTTCCTTCCTTCCTTCCTTCCTTCCTTCCCTTCCTTCCTTCCTTCCTTCCTTCCTTCCTTCCTTCCTTCCATCACCAGGCAGCCAGTTCTCCTAGCAAGGAGTGCTACCATGTAGCCCCGAAGTTAGATAGTTTGCCCATGCATGATCTGGTGTAAATGCTTGCTGGGCACGGGTCCTCCTTAACCACAATCCTAGTCAAAATTCAACCTCACTCTTGTGAGTTCTCTTAACTAAAGCGAGCCAAACATTGGAATTTCTGACACCGTGACCATGTTGGTTGCCATTATATTGTCGAAGGCCTTTATGGCCGGAATTACTGGGTTGTTGTAGGTTGTTTCGGGCTATATGGCTATGGTCTAGAGGCATTCTCTCCTGATGTTTCGCCTGCATCTACCTCACTACCTCCGAGGAAGAGAATTCCTCTAGACCAGGGGTAGGGAACCTTTGGCCCTCCAGCTGTGGTGGACTTCAACTCCCACAATTCCTTGAGGCTCGGCATTGGGCCAAGGTAAGCCTTTGGGGCGAATGCCGAGCCTCAAGGAATTGTGGGAGTTGAAGTCCACCACAGCTGGAGGGCCAAAGGTTCCCTACCCCTGCTCTAGACCATGGCCATATGGCCCGAAAAAACATACAACAACCCATTGGTTGCCATTTTTTGCACCTTTCCCACATTTACTATCTATAGATTGGTATTGTGCTTGCCCAGAATTGTACACAGGATTCCAAATAGACTCACACCACAAAATTAGATGAGAACAAATGTGATTTTGGCAGCTTTATTTGGAACCTCTTGATAACAGCCTCTGAAAGGAAAGTTACATAAAACATAGAAGTGCCAAATCCCTTAAAGAATATAGGGATCAAGTTCATAAATAACAAAACAATGATGAATAGTTACGAACTGCCCCTCCTTTTTTTGGCTATCCCATTTCTCACTGTTGATTTGCGTAAGGATGACTTTCTTTTCAGATTTTCTTTTCTTTTTGCCTGGCGTACTTCAGTCCAAAGGTTCTGGAGTATTATGCAGGAAAATGGCAGCTGCCAATGAAAGAATCCATTTCAGATGTGGAGAGACCATCAATATTGTGGCACAGGCAAAGCCCTAGCTTACCTGGGAAGCTTCCATTAGGTCTTTGGGTTGAAGGGAAGTCAATGCATGTCCACCATGGTTGGGTTTTCTGTGGAATGTAGAGACAACAGATTGCCAAGGAATGCTCCAACACAGATAGACATCAGCACATGCAGTTTTTGGCTCCTAGTTCCAGCCCTAACCGCTGCTATAAAGTCATTCATTGGCTGACATACATACACCTACAACAATAAACATATGTATGGTCTTTGTTCCTTGTTGTGAAAGGAGGCATTCAATGTGCAACACCTCACCTCCTCACCCTGCCAGCTTTAGGTCCCAGGAGCACACTTCCATGACCATTTACCCAACAGAGATAGGGAAGGATGGCATTAACTCTCTTCTATTTGTTGGTGGGAACGAGAGACAGGGCCTTTTTGGCAGTGGCCCCCCGTCTGTGGAACTCCTTCCCTAAGGACATCAGGTTGGCCACCTCCCTCCTGTCCTTTAGAAGACAACTGAAGACCTGGCTCTGGAAGCAGGCATTTGACTAGAGGGGAACGGTAATATGAAAGAAAAACTTTTGGACATCCCGATATTGGACTCTCCCAGCTTGGATTTGGTGTATTGGCACGCTAATTTATTGTTAACTAGCCGTCTCCTGCCATGCATTTCTGTGGCCCACATGGGGGTTCTGTGTGGGAGGTTTGGCCCAATTCTATTGTTGGTGGGATTCTGAATGCTCTGTGATTGTAGATGAACTATGAATCCCAGCAACCACAACTCCCAAAAGTCAAGATTCTATTTTCCTCAAACTCCACCAGTGTTCACATTTGGGCATATTGAGTATTCGTGTAGAGTTTGGTCCAGATCCATCATTGTTTGAGTCCACAGTGATCTCTGGATGTAGGTGAACTACAACTCCAAAACCAAAGGACACTGCCCACCAAACCCTTCCAGTATTTTCTGTTGATCATGGGAGAACTGTGTGCCAAGTTTGCTTTCATTCCATCATTGGTGGGGTTGAGAATGCTCTTTGATTGTAAGTGAACTATACATCCCAGCAACTACAATTCCCAAATGACAAAATCAATTTTTTTTTTAGTGGAGGACATACATTGGGTTGTTAGGTGTCTTGTGTCCAAATTTGGTGTCAATTCATCGAGTGATTTTTGAGTTCTGTTAATCCCACAAACGAACATTACATTTTTATTTATATAGATGAATTTACTGTTGAATCTGGATAATGTTTTAAATTGATTTTATTGTTTTAATTGTAATTTTACTGGTATATATGTGGATTGAATCATTGGATGCTCATGTAAGGCTACCCTGAGTCCCCTTGTGGTGAGACGGGCAGGATAGAAATGTATGTAATAAATAAATAAGTTGTTGTTGTTGTTGTTGTTGTGTGCTTTCAAGTCGTTTCAGACTTAGGTTGACCCTGACCTTGGAGGGCCATATCCGGCCCTTGGGCCTTAGTTTGAGGACCCCTGGCGTAGTGGTCTGAGCATTGGATAATGACTCTGGAAACCAGGATTATCATACTATTGGGCCATAGAAACCCACTGGGCTGCCTTGGGAAGGTCATACTCCTTTTGACACAGAGGAAGGGATTGGCAAATCTTGCTAAAAGTATACAGAAATGTCACATTTCCCTTTCCCCATTCCCTGTTTGGGACTTTTTAACGTTGTCAGTCCATACAATCAATGGAAGCCTGTTAAGGAATCAAGTGAAGGACACACATGTGTCAACCACCCCTTAGTTAGGTAGAAAGGGGAGACTCCATGCCATCCTGGTCAGACCTATGTGGCCGAAGAGTCCAAAAATATGTCATTAGCACACTTCTGTTCCTCTTAGCCCGCTCACCCTGTTCCCCTGCCGAGGAGCCTGGGGACCTGCTGCTGTCGAGATTGGTGAGCCGGCTCCAGATGTTGGCACGGCAGTTCCGGAACAACTTTTCCTGAAACTCCGATGTCATAAAATAGTAGATAATTGGATCCAGGCAGCAATTGAGGCTTGCAAGGCACAGAGAAATGGAATGGAAATACAAAGTCCTGCGGCGTGCGGAGCAGTCTCGGATGGCCTCCTGTTTCACCATCATAAACAGAGGGAAGTTCACGTGGTAAGGCGTGAAGCATATGAAGAACACCGCTGCGCATCCCAAGATCATGCGCCAAGCTTTCTGCTTCTCATTAGCGTGTTGCAAAGGGGCGTGGGACTCCTGGAGGGACTGCCTCATTTTCCATGTGCAATAAAGGATTATCACAAGGGGGAGCAGAAACCCAGAGAGTTCGGCCACCAGCACCATCGCAATGGAGGTCCCCATATTCAGTTGTCTCACTCCAAGATCAGCAAAACAGGTGTTGGTGTTGTTGGTCAAGCTGGGACTCCTCAGAATTGGGAGGGGTAAGCAAGCGGCCCCCACAACGGTCCAGATAGCCACACTTATGGCTATGTCGTACCTGCATTTCCAGTCCTTGGCTTTGAAAGGATGGCGCAGGAAGAGGTACCTTTGGATGCTGATGCAGGTGAGGAAGCAGATGCTGGCATACATGTTGAGGTACTTCAGGTAGAAGCATAACTGGCAAAGGAAGCCCCCAAAAGGCCAACTATGGTTGATGTAGTAATACATTCGTAAGGGCAAAGAGAAGATGTGGGCCAGGTCAGCTGCGGCCAAGTTCATCATGAAGATGACGGCTTTATTCTTCTTGTTGATGAAGCGGCACAGGACCCAAAGGGCAATGCCGTTGCCCAGGAGGCCTGGAATGAAGATGATGGTGTACGTGGCGGCGTACAAGGTGGCCTGGAAATCCATGGATGGGTCGGTACAATTCCCAGTAGAACTGTTGTCTCCCATCTTGATCAGGTTGGCAAGATCCCCGAAGGCAACTGGAGTTGACTAGAAGAGTCCTATTTAAAAAAAAGGCAAAACATCATATCATGTCATGTTATGTTTTGAACATATTTGTTGATTTATTGACATTCCTACCCCACCCTTCTCAACCCCCAAGGGGGAACTCAGAGCGACTAACACTGGCGACAATTCGATGCTGCAAATATCACAATATAACAACAACATAAAACCATAAATACACAATAGATTAAAAACAATAACATTAATTATACAGTCATATAGCCGTTTCCATTATTATAACAATCATATAGTCCAGTTCAATGTCCAAAGCGCTGTTATGCCTGCTAGCCAAAAACCTGGTTTCAAAACCATAATTTTAGTTTTTTCATAAAGGAAAGGAGGGAAGAAACCGATCTAATCTCACTGGGGAGCGAATTTCACAAGCACCACCGAGAAGGCCCTGTCCCACGTTCCCACCAGACGCGCTTGCGAGGCTGGTGGGACCGAGAGCAGGGCCACCTCCAGTGGATCTTAAACTACGAAGAGGATTGTAGAGGGAACAAAGAGATCAAACACATAGGGACTTCTCCTGCTAAGGGACCAAGGCACTGGTTGAAAAGAGAAACACAATGTTATTTTAACCTGCAAATGCAAGATGAAGTTAATTGTAATCGCTCAGTGGATAGGGGAAAAACAGCATAGTGGACTAAGAGCCTAGGATCCCCCGGTGCCACAGTGGGTTGAACCGCTGAGCTGCTGAATGATTTTTATATGGTTTTTATAATGTGTATGAAATGTTTTTAATTATGTTTTATGAACCGTGTGGCATTGAATTGTTGCCAATGTGTAAGCTGCTTCAAGTCGCCTTCAGGCTGCGAGAGGCGGCATACAAATGCTGTAAATAAATAAATAAATAAACTTGCTGACCAAAAGGTCACAGGTTCAAATCCAGGGAGGGGAGTGAGCTCCTGCTGTTAGCCCCAACTTCTGCCAACCTAGCAGTTTGAAAACATGCAAATGTGAGTAGATCAATAGGTACTGCTCCGACAGGAAGGTAACGGTGGTCCATGCAGTCATGCTGGCCACATGATCTTGGAGGTGTCTATGGACAACACTGGTTCTTCAGCTTAGTAATGGAGATGAGCACCCCATCCCCAGAGTCAGACACAACTGGACTTAATGTCAGCGGAAAACCTTTCTGTAGTAAAATACAGAAAAACAAGTGTTGGTAATCCCTGAGTTAAAAAACATCCGACTTACAAACAACTCCTAGTTAAGAACAGGGCTGAGACAACAAGAAGAGAGAGGAATCTACCCCTCAAAAGAGAAACCCATTCCTGGAAGAGTTATCATGCACTTTACTAGAGATTTAAGATTGCCTGCACATCGCACCTACCCTAAAATCCTTACATTTCACCTGTCATGTCCAGCACTTTCAATTTATTCATTACATTTGGCCCGGCCCTAGTTTTAATTGTGTTATGATGTATTGTTTTGACGTTTTACTGTTATTGCTTTAATGTTTATTGGTTTCTTTATGAGTTTTATTGTTGTATTTTTTTATGCTGTTGTTTTATTGAGGGCCTTGGCCTTTGTAAGCCGCACCGAGTCCTTCGGGAGATTTTAGCGGGTTACAAATAAAGTTCATCATCATCATCATCATCATCATCATGAGGGAAAGGTCTCTCTGGTGAAGCTTTCTCTCCAATCTTTGTTTCCACTACAAGCCAATTTTTTTTTCAAAATCCAATTCTCACAGGGACAGAAAGTGAGGTGAAATCTTCTGAACAGGGACACAGGCAGCAGAGGAAACACCACAAGGGTGTTGACCCTTCCCTATGTGATCCAAAGCAGATGGATGGATAGATGGATAGATCTCTGGAGTTACACTCTAAAAATGTACCTGTTCCAACTTATGAACAAATTCAACTTGAGAACAAGCCTACAGAACCCCTCTTGTAGTAGAAAAGCAGGAGACGGCTGTGTTTCCTTAAGGAGAGCCATAAACATAAATGAGACATTAAATCTCCAACTGTGAATACTCTTCATCCTCTCCCTTTCCTTTTTCCTTATCATATTTGTTCATCTTCTTTCCACTATGATTTCTCAAAACTACAAGGCAAAAATTGAAGCAGATATTCCTATTTCCCAATTTACCTTTTGACAAAGCAAACTTTGTCAAACTTCCATTTGTGTTGCACCTTCCAGTCCATTACTGGCAGCAGAAATAGGTTTACCTCTACTACGCCTTCTTTGAAATTAGATAGAAATGAGAATTAGAGTTGGGTGTCGACAGACCTCACAACCACTGAGGAGGCCTGCCATAGATGTGGGCGAAACGTCAGGAGAGAATGCTTCATGAACATGGCCATGCAGCCTGGAAAACTCACAGCAGTAAGTATGTAACTAATTTAGCAAGAGGAACTAAAGTCATATTATTTTTAACCAGATTCACAACATCCTGTTAATGTCAAGGCTTGGGTGTGTCTACTAGCAACAGACACTTTTGTACTTCTCCAACTGTAATTAAATAATGTTCCTTCCTCTTTGATGTCTCTACGAATGTGTCATATTTCCCATTCAAAGAATGCAAAATCCAGAGAGCTTGGAAGTCTCAAACTAGTACAGTAGAGTCTCGGTTGTCCAACATAAATGGGACGGTAGAGTGTTGGATAAGCGATAATGTTGGATAATAAGGAGGGATTAAGGAAAAGCCCATTAATTACATTATGATTTTTCAAACTAAGCACCAAAACATCATGTTTTGCCACAAATCGACTGAAAAAGCAGTTCAATACACTGTAACGTTGTGTAGTAATTACTGTATTTACGAATTTAGCACCAAAGTATCACAATGTATTGAAACAGCTGTGGATCCAGCGAGAGGCAGACTGCATTGGATAATACAGAACATTGGATGAGCGAAGGTTGGATAAGCGAGACTCTACTGTATATTCAATGTATGGTTTGATGCCGGGGATCTGTCCCCTGGAAAAAGCAAGTCACACGGAAAATTGTCTTAGGACTGTTTGCAGAAATTCAAAGTTATGCTCTGTTCTCCTACTTTAAAGCCTTACATTATGAAGGGTCTCAAATGTCAAGTCTTCGTCTGGCTTTACACACATAATTGTAAGAATAATGCCATTGTTAAAAGTAATGTTACATGACCTTGTAAAGCAGTGTTTATCAACCTGGGGGTCGGGACTCCCAGGTTGTGGGGGGAGGGTTGTGAGGGGATGTCAGAGGGGTTGTCAAAGGCCATCAGAAAACACAGTCTTTTCTGTTGGTCATGGGGTTTTGTGTGGGAAGTTTGGCCCAATTCTATCGTTGGTGGGGTTCAGAATGCTCTTTGATTGTAGGTGGACTATACATCCCAGCAACGACAGATCCCAAATGCCAAGGTCTATTTTCCCCAAATTCCACCAGTGTTCATATTTGGGCATATTGAGTATTCATGCCAAGTTTTGTCCAGATCCATCACTGTTTGAGTCCACAGTGCTCTCTGGATGTAGATGAACTACAACTCAAAAACTCAAGGTCAATACCCACCAAACCCCCTTCAGTATTTTCCGTTAGTCTGTGGGAGTTCTGTGTGCCAAGTTTGGTTCAATTCCATCATTGGTGGAGTTCAGAATGCTCGTTGACTGTAGGTGAACGATAAATCCCAGCAACTACAACTCCCAAATGACAATCAATCCCCCCAACCCCATCAGTATTCAAATTTGGGTACTTGTGCCAAATCTGGTCTAGTGAATGAAATACATAATAATAATAATAATAATAATAATAATAATAATAATAATAATAACAACAACAACAACAACAGCAACAGCAACAGCAACAACAACACTTTATTTATATTCCACCCTTCTCACCCCGAAGGGGACTCAGGGTGGATCACAGTACATATACACGGCAAACATTCAATGCCACTTTGTATAGACCAGGGGTCCTCAAACTTTTTAAACAGAGGGCCAGGTCACAGTCCCTCAAACTGTTGGAGGGCTGGATTATAATTTGAAAAAACCATGAATGAATTCCTATGCACATTGCACATCTCTTATTTGTAATTCAAAAAACACTTTAAAACAATACAATAATTAAAATGAAGAACAATTTTAACTAACATAAACTGATTAGTATTTCAATGGGAAGTGTGGGCCTGCTTTTGGCTGATGAGATAGGATTGTTGTTGTTGTGTGCTTTCAAGTTGTTTCAGAGTTAGGTTGAACCTGAGTGAGGGCCGGGTAAATGACCTTGGAGGGCCGTATCTGGCCTCCGGGCCATAGTTTGAGGACCCCTGGTATAGACAATGCACAGACAGACAGAACAGAGGAGATGGTTTGTTTCAGCTGTTTTTGGTGCCGTGAAAGTCCCGGGGGTGCTGTTACTCTATCCTCTATGACAAAGAGCCGTCAGGACTTCCTCCTTCCTTTTGGTCACTCAGCATTTTCTGATCTTTTTTCTTTATGGCGTCATAAAACACCTCCCCCGCTTTTAACGGTACCTAATTTCGCTAATCACAGCTAAAGCTGTTTTTGAATTGCTTAGGTAAACAATGAGCTAGGCTGACAGTTGGCAGCTCACGCCAACTCAGGGTTTTGAACTTGCAACCTTTTGGTTGATAGATCTTATAATTGCGGATGATTTACCAGCTGTGCTAAACCTCCAGCATATCAGATATTTACGTTACAATTCATAACAGTAGCAAAATGGCAGTTATATAGTAGCAATGAAAATAATGTTATGGTTGGGTATCATCACAACATGAGGAACTATATTAAGGGGTCGCAGCATTAGGAAAGTTGAGAACTACTGTTGTGAGGATTTATAAAAGGTGCATTTTGACACTGGAAAATGCAAGCAGTTTGATACCACTTGAATAGCCATGACTATGGACGTCTGGGAGTCGTAGTTTTCAAAGTACTGTAGTTTGGTGCTTCTTCAACCCCTCAGGATTCTACAGCATTGAGTCATGGCTTTTCAAGTTATGTCAACCTGCATTAATTCTACAATGTAGATGCACCCTGTGATGAAAGCAAACTGCTCCAGCCTTTGCTGGCTTGTCGGTTCTTCCTCGACATTTGCCACCTGGTGTTGCTTGGCTACGTGTGCCATGGTTTCCATCTCAGAAATTTTGAAAGGGTATTAGCTTCCCTTCTGGAGCAATAGATATCAATTTAGGGCTATTTTTATCAGGACTGCATTGCAAAAGGAGAAGGTTAAGTATCTTACTCCTCGCACGTTACAATCCTAATAACACTGCAGAGTTGCAAAGAGAGATATGGCCACCGTTACTATTGGAAAGCAACAGGCGTTCGTTCTTTCCCTTCCACAATGGCGCCTGCTTTCATTCCTGTGGGTTTCGATGTAGTTATTAAATGTTCCTCTTCATAGAAAGGCAAAATCCAGAAGCTTTCTCATTTTTGATTAGTTCTAACAATGTGTTAAAATGTGGTTTCCAAGACAGTCTTTCAGACACACGCAAGCCAGACACACTTGGCCATCCAAACCAAGGGTTATGCGTGGACTATATATATATATATTCTATACATGTATATAATTATTAATAACTAGCCATCTCCTGCCACACATTGCTGTGGCCCAGTCTATGTATATGTGTTTTGTGTGTGTATGTGTGTGTATGTTTGCATATAAATGTGTGTGTGTGGTTTTGCGCATGCGTTGTAATGTATTTTTTATATATATTTTGGCTTTTTAAGTCTCTTCTGCTGTGTTTTTCAGTGTTTTTATGAGTGATAGTCACTCATTGGCCTGATAGGTGTATTTTGCACAAATTTGGTGTTAATTCGTCCAGTGGTTTTTGAGTTCTGTTAATCCCACAAACAAACATTATATTTTTATTTATATAGATTTGAATAATGTATTAATATCACGGCTTATAGCTGATCCTGAATATCTGTCTTCGTAAAACTCTACTGAATTCAATGCAATTTCCTTCCTTGCAGGACAAGATTTTTTCCATCTGCCCTTTTACATGTGTGTCCCAAATTCCTTATACAGTAGAGTCTCGCTTATCCAACCTTCACTCATCCAACGTTCTGCATTATCCAACACTGTCTGCCTCCCATCCGGATCCACAGCTGTTTCAATTTATTGCAATGTTTTGGTGCTAAATTCATAAATACCGCAATTACTACACAACGTTACCATGTATTGAACTGCTTTTTCTGTTGGAACAGCAAACCTCTACTATACTTGGAACTGAGGGCCCTTCTACACTGCCATATAAAATCCAGATTATCTGCTTTGGATTATATGGCAGTGTAGACTCATATAAACCAGTTCAAAGCAGATAAACTGGATTATAGGCGCAGTGGGTTAAATCACTGAGCTGCTAAACTTGTTGATCAAAAAGTCGCAGGTTCAAATCCGGGGAGCGGCATGAGCTTCTGCTGTCAGCCCCAGCTTCAGCCAACCTAGCAGTTCGAAAACATGCAAATGTGAGTAGATCAATAGGTACCGCTCTGCGGGAAGGTAACTGCACTCCATGCAGCCATACCGGCCACATGACCTTGGAGTCGGACACAACTAGACTTAATATAATGTTAATATAATGTTATATTGTATTATATTAATACAACATCATATTATATTATACTATTATAGTATATTATAATATAATATAATGATATAATATAATACAATAAAATACAATTCAATATAATATAATATAATATAATATAATATAATATAATATAATATAATATAATAATGATCGAAGGGTTTTAGGAGACCATAAGCTTGAAAATTATATTTTGGAGGAAGGCAGGGCGTTTCACAAAAACATCTATTTCTGTTTTATTGATTATTTTATTGGGCCGGCTGATGCTGCAGCGGGTTAAACCATTCTGCTGCTGAACTTGCTGACCGAAAAGTCGGTGGTTTGAATCTGGGTAGTGGGGTGAGCCCTTGCTGTTAGCCCCAGCTTCTGCCAACCTAGCAGTTCAAAAACATGCAAATGTGAGTAGATCAATAGGTGCCGTTCCAGCGGGAAGGTAACAGTGCTCCATGCAGTCATGCTGGCCACATGACCTTGGAGGTGTCTACGGACAATGCCGGCTCTTCAGCTTAGGAATGGAGATGAACAGCTACCCCCAGAGTCGGACACGACTGGACTTAATGTCAGGGGAAAACCTTTACCTTTACCTATGCTTTGATAATCTGGATTATATGGCAGTGCAGAAGGGGCCTGACAGGCCATTGATTTCAGTCATTTTCTTTCCCCGAGCTATTGTGCTCTGAAATGCAGCTTTCGCTTTGCCAAAGGAAACACACTCTAGACGAATCGGCCTTACCTCTCAACAGTTTCCATTCTTTTAAACGGCGACTGCCACCCCATCGAGAAATGAGAATGCCAGAAAGCCAAAGGACCTTCTTGTGGGCTCAGCTGCGTTGCCCATTTTGTTTCACAAGGTTTTTCTCTGTCGCCTCCGTCGCTCTTCTGGGAACCCGAGCTTTCAAACTGACTGGACGGATTTTTCAGGAGCCCGAAGACGGGAGCAATGACTGTACTCAAAGGAAATCCTGTATCTTGTTTCTCCTTCCCTTTCGAAAGGCGCTCGCCACAGCTTTCTGGAGCAGAAACAAATCAACAAATGACATCACAATGATAGGTTTGCCATGAGAGGAAAAGTTGGCTTTCTGTGCATTCTTTGCAACCGTGTCCTATTTTCGGTCCACGGTTTCTTTTCCATTCGAGGCTCAGTGTGCCAAAATAGAGGCCAACGTGGGAACTGTTTCCAGGAAGTTTGAATCCCAGTTATGAGTCCATTGGAAGCTCTTAAATTGTAATTTTTCCATTCCAACCCCACTCTTATCCCTCCTCCTGACAATACACATACAAGAAACACTGGACGGCAATGGAGATGGTTGCAGATGGTTTGCACTGCTGTGGTCTAACCATGGTCTAATAGTGCAAAGCAAAGGTCTGCAAGTGCAGAATCATACAAAACTCGTCAAAGTATATTTAGATTTCAGCCTTCGGAGCGCCGACCTTTACTCTTGAATGTTTCCATCTAACCTCTTCACAATGCTAGGCTTCTTTCTTCCCACAAGAGTCAGTTAAATACTTTCCCACAAAAATGAATATTGATACCAAAATACAACACGTCTTGGTATTCCAACATCCGTATTGTCCTCCCAACTCTGTCATACGCCTGCAAAACATGAACCTCTACAAACGTCACCCTCGACTTCTGGAACGATTCCATCAGCGTTTCCTCTGAAAAATCCTGCAAATCTCTTGGGGAAAAGACAAGTGGACAAGTGTCAGTGTTATGGGAGAAGAAGCAAGGACCACCAGCATTGAAACCATGATCCTCTGCCATCCACTTCGCTGGATCAAAGACCGTGTTTTCCGAAGGCCCAAAGATCACCATCTCCTAATGTGATCAGAGGTGACTTCCCCCCCCCCCCCCCCCGGGCTCTGTAAAAGATAGTTCATAGTATTGCCAAGCATACTAGGCTGAATTGATCCCATAATCCCCTATCTCTCCTCCTGTTTTTATGAATGGACGCCGACTACTCAGTGCTCTCCTGAACTTACATGCATGCACCCCCCATGAACTCTTATGAGTTCTTATGAACTTTCATGAACTTTATAGGAACTTTTATAAACTCTTGCCAAACTTTATGAAATTTTATGCACTTGGGGGGGGGGGGCTGACGTGACTTCCCCTTAGACCCTGCATGCTTCCTCCTTTTCCTATGAACTCTGTGTATGCTCCCTTGCCCCTTTCCTCATTCCCTATATGTTTATATAAAAATATGAAGGAAAGCAACCTTTTCATGAACCAACAACTCATGGCTCTTGGGATTTCCAATAATCTCCTAACAAAGGATTATTATTATTATTATTATTATTATTATTATTATTATTACTTTATTTGTACCCCGCTAGTATCTCCCGAAGGACTCGATGCGGCTTACACAGGCCAAGGCCTCAAAACACAATACAACAATACAATACCTAAAGCAAATTAAAAACAGTTAAGCAGAATAAACAACAGCAGCAAACAAAACAAGCCCTAAACGGTTCCGGCCCAAGATACCTATCTGACCGCATCTCAGCCTATGAACCCACCCGGACTTTGAGATCGTCCGGGGAGGCCCTGCTCTCGATCCCGCCAGCCTCTCAAGCACGGTTGGCGGGGACGAGAGATAGGGCCTTCTCGGTGGTGGCTCCTCGGCTGTGGAACGCCCTTCCTGTAGACGTTAGGCTGGCACCATCTCTCATGACATTCCGTAGAAAGTTGAAGACCTGGATGTTTGTGCAGGCGTTTGGGTAATTCAGTGCAATTGTGGTAATTTGAACATAGGAACGGAACAATGGACGACGAATTTGGATCACATTTGGATGATGAGGCGATCGGGGGATGGGATTTGTGATAACTGTGTATTGATGATTGTTTATTAGCTATTAATGGAACTGTGTAATTTAACTGTTTTGTATATTGACTATGGCTGTTTTTATTGTCTTTGCTGTTTGGAAACCGCTGTGAGTCGCCCTCGGGCTTGAGATACAGCGGTATACAAGAATAGTAAATAAATAATAAATAAATAAATACATCAAAACACTATAAAACTGGGCCAGGCCAGAGTAATGGGTACAAGATTAAAAGTGCTGATGTGGCAGGAGGTATGTAGGATTATAAGTAAGTGCAGTGTGCAGTGTGCAGTAATCTTAGTTCTACTAAAGTGTTTCTAGGACTTGGTATTGGAGGTTCCTAATCTGAGAAGGCACATTGGAACAGCCAGGTCTTCAAGTTCTTTCTGAAGACTGCCAGTGTAGGGGCCTGTCTAAGATCTTTTGGGAGGGCGTTCCAGAGTCGGGGGGCCACCACAGAAAAGGCCCTGTCTCGAGTCCCCACCAAGCGCGCTTGCGACGCAGGCGGGATCACGAGCAGGGCCTCTCCAGATGACCGAAGTGAACGCGTGGGTTCGTAGACGGAGATGCGGTCACGCAGGTAGGGTGGTCCCAAACCGTTCAGGGCTTTGTAGGTAAGCACCTGCACCTTAAATTGGGCTCGGAAAATAAACGGCAGCCAGTGGAGCTCCTTGAACAGGAGGGTTGACCTCTCTCTGTAATGAGCCCCGGTTAACATCCTGGCTGCTGCCCGTTGGACCAGTTGGAACTTCCGAGCCGTTTTCAAGGGCAGCCCTACGTAGAGCACATTGCAGTAATCCAATCTAGAGGTGACCAAGGCATGGACCACCCCGGCCAGATTTCACCAAGACCATTTGCATGAACAATAAGTAAATGTCTCTGTCTGACCGGACCTCGGAGGGCTAATAGCCAAGCCATCTAGAATGATGGGGTCTATAGACACACTTGGATCACCCAGCACAAAGGACATCTCTCCATCCACAAGGAACCGGGGATTTGTCATCCGCCTCCCTGCTGTGCCACATCCTGATCTCCCGAAACTAGCATCTACTTCATCAATGAACTCCATATCGCAGGACAGTGTGACAAAGGACCTGGTCTCTCAGGGCTAGATAAGAACGTTAATTCAAGGAATCAAACAATAACTCAGGCCAGGCATGAGAGTCTAAAGCTATCGCCCAGCCATTTGGCAAACACCAGCCATTCTTAATCCAGTCAGCTAGACATTTCTTTATTGTTTCCCTTTTGCCCGCCTCCTTTCAACCCCATTGGCTGGACGGCCAAAAGCAGGGCCAGAGCCCTCATTGGATCTCCTCCTGGCTTGCTGATGTCACAGCCAATCATAACAAAGCCAGCTCGGGGGGGGGGGGAATGGGAACTTTTGAATCTGAAGGCTATATATACTGCCCAGTGGGTTATGTCGATTTGTTGGCAGGCTACTGCAATAATCATCCTTTTCCACCTTGGTGGCTTTCTCTTCAACTTGGTGAGATTTATTCTGGAATACTGGCTTCTTTTCTCACCAGGCAACCCACAATGGCTTGGATCACAGAGACACTCACTGGAACACCTCAGCAAGCTAGAGTCCAAAAGTGGCAGGCTCAAACCCAGCACCTCAACCAATGGCTGATACCAAATGAGAAACCCCCTCCTGGGCACACAGAAGACTGGGCGACTTGGAAGGCGCTGAACAGACTGCGCTCTGGCACCACGAGATGCAGAGCCAACCTTCAGAAATGGGGCTACAAAGTGGAATCCTCGACATGTGAGTGTGGAGAAGAGCAAACCACTGACCATCTGCTGCAATGCAACATGAGCCCAGCCACATGCACAATGGAGGACCTTCTTGCAGCAACACCGGAGGCACTCCAAGTGGCCAGATACTGGTCAAAGGACATTTAACCAACTACCAAACTCACAAGTTTTGTATTTTTCTGTTTGTTTGCTTTGTTGTTAGAAATGTAATATAATGGACTGGTTGCTCTGACACGACAAATAAATAATCCACAACTACTCTAAATTGCTTGACAACACTAAAGCAGTTGCTTTACTCTCAGCTCAAGAATGGAAAATGGAATTTCATCAAAAGAGATTTAAAGATGGGCTTAAAGCTAACCTTAAAATGTGAAGTTGTTGTTGTTGTTTATTCGTTCAGTTGCTTTCAACTCTTTGTGACCTCATGGACCAGCCCATGCCAGAGCTCCCTGTCAGCTGTGACCACTCCCAGTTCCTTCAAAATCAAGCCAGTCACTTCAAGGATACCATCCATACATCTTGCCCTTGGTCGACCCCTCTTCCTTTTTCCTTCCATTTTCCCCAGCATCATTGTCTTCTCCGAGCTTTCCTGTCCTTTCATGATGTGGCCAAAGTACTTCATCTTGGCCTCTAATATCCTTCCCTCCAATGAGCAGTCGGGGTTTATTTCCTGAAGTATGGACTGGTTGGATCTTCTCACGGTCCAAGGCACTCTCCGAATTTTCCTCCAGCACTACAGTTCCAAAGCATCTATCTTCCTTCACTCAGCCTTCCTTATCGTCAATCCATAGGTTACTACAGGGAATACCATTGCTTTAACTATGTGGATTTTCATTGCCAGTGGAATAAACACCTTGAACTGGGAAGCCCTGGCCCTCGAGTGTTTTACTGTGGCCAACAATGTTATGGATTTTGAAGAGACACAAATAGAGGACAATAGGGATAACCTTGGCAAGAGGAAGAAGGCACCTCAAACAAGCCTTTGCCGGCACCCCGATCTGGAAATTCATGTCCTGACTGTGGAAGAAAGAGCATGTGGATCCTCCACAGTCATTGACGGCTCCTCTGCCAATACTCTATCCTTAGAAGACCATCAAACCCAGCTACAGGGGATCGCCCATGATCTGGACTTACCAGATGAGAATAAACTATTCCCTCTCTTAAGCTTTTAGCAAATGAAGTTCAACAGTGACAAATGCAAGATACTCCACTTTGGCAGGAAAAACGAAATGCAAAGATACAGAATGGGGGACAATGCCTGGCTCAAGAGCAGTACGTGTGAAAAAGATCTTGGCGTCCTCATGGATAACAAGTTAAATATGAGCCAACAATGTGATGTGGCGGCAAAAAAAAGCCAATGGGATTTTGGCCTGCATTAATAGGAGCATAGTGTCTAGATCTAGGGAAGTCATGCTACCCCTCTATTTCGCTTTGGTTAGACCGCACCTGGAATATTGTGTCCAGTTCTGGGCACCACAATTCAAGAGAAATATTGACAAGTTGGAATGCGTCCAGAGGAGGGCGACTAAAATGATCAAGGGTCTAGAGAACAAGCCCTATGAGGAGCAGCTTAAGGAGCTGGGCATGTTTAGCCTGAAGTAGAGAAGGCTGGGAAGAGACGTGATAGCCACATATAAATATGTGAGAGGAAGCCCCAGGGAGGAGGGAGCAAGCTTGTTTTCTGCTTCCCTGGAGACTA